CCCCTGCACGATGACGCGCTCGCCGGCCTGCAGGCCGGAGGTGATGGCGACCAGGCCGTCGCGCGACACGCCGGTCCTGACCCGCTTCTGCTCGACCACGTTCTTGTCGTTGACGACGAACAGGTAGGCGCCGCTCTGGTCCTGCGCGATGGCGGCCTGCGGCACGGCGACCGAGGTCGGGACCTTCTCGCCCTCGATGATGACGCGAACCGTCTGGCCGTCGGTGAGGACGCCGTTCTTGTTGTCGAAGGTGGCGCGCACGATCTGGCCGTCGGTCTTGGCGTCGACCGTGACGTCGATGAAGTCGATCTTGCCCTTCTCCTGGTAGATCGAGCCGTCGGCCAGGCGCAGGCGGACCAGGATGCCTTCGGGGTCAGTGCCGGAGTTCCGCTTGGCTTCGAGAAGCTCGCGCTGCGTCACCGGGAACAGCACGCGGATCGGATGCTCGCTGACCACGGTGGCCAGCACGCCCGAGTCCGGGCTTACGAGATTGCCCGGCGAGAAGGCGGCGCGGCCGACGCGTCCGTCGATCGGCGACTTGATCTCGGTGTAGGAGAGCTGCAGCTCGGCGTCGCGCAGCTGGGCGCTGGCGTCCTCGACCTGCGCCTTGGCCTGGAGCTGCTCGGAGAGCCGCTGGTCGTAGGTGACCTGCGTGCCGGTGTTGGAGCGCAGCAGCTCCGCGGCGCGCTTCAACTGCATGTCGGCATTGGCCAGCGCCGCCATCGCGGCATCCCGCTGGGCCTTCTTCTGGTCGACGGCGGCCTGGTAGGTCTCGGGCTCGATGGTGAAGAGGACCTGGTTCTTCTTCACCTGATCGCCGTCGGCGAACTTGCGCGGACCGAGGAAGCCCTTCACGCGGGCGCGCAGCTCGACCTTGTCGACGGCGGCGACGCGGCCGATGAACTCGGACTGGTCGGCGATCGGCTTCATCTCGGCGGGCTGGACCAGCACGGCGGGCGGCGGACCACCCTGTTGCTGGGCGAGAGCCGGGGTCATGCTGCAGGCAGCCCAAAGCGCCGCAGCGACGAGCATCGATGCCGTCGAACGCCGGTTTTTCATCGTCAATTTCCCCGCTCAAATCTCGCGCCGGAAGAGTGCCCCAATTCCCCCAGATGGTCACGGCAATTCAGGCCGATTGGGCCTTGCAAGACAGCGTGTGATCGGAGAGGAGTCGGGAATGCAGACGGTGCGATGGTTGTCTCTCGTTTTCGCGGCGGCGTGCGCCGTCGCGCCATTGCACGTCTCGGCCCAGACGCAGGCTCCGGTCCAGCCTCCAGCAGCGACGCAGGCTCCGGTTCAGGCGGCGCCGGCCCAGACTCCCGGCTCGGCGCAGCGCAGCAGCTTTTCCAATCCCGCCGAGTACGACAGCTACATGGCGGCACTGAACACCAAGGATCCCGCGCGCAAGGCGCAGGCGATGGAGGTGTTCATCGCCTGGTATCCCGGCAGCATCCTGCGTCTCGAGGCCCATGAACAGGCGATCTCCGCCTGG